GTGACTTGTATAGTGCAGTGTATAGTGCAGTGAATAGTGACTTGTATAGTGCAGTGAATAGTGACTTGTATAGTGCAATGTATAGTGCAGTGAATAGTGACTTGTATAGTGCAGTGTATGGTGCAGTGAATAGTGACTTGTATAGTGCAGTGTATAGTGCAGTGAATAGTGACTTGTATAGTGCAGTGAATAGTGACTTGTATAGTGCAGTGTATGGTGCAGTGAATAGTGACTTGTATAGTGCAGTGTATAGTGCAGTGAATAGTGACTTGTATAGTGCAGTGAATAGTGACTTGTATAGTGCAGTGTATGGTGCAGTGAATAGTGACTTGTATAGTGCAGTGTATGGTGCAGTGAATAGTGACTTGTATAGTGCAGTGTATAGTGCAGTGAATAGTGACTTGTATAGTGCAGTGAATAGTGACTTGTATAGTGCAGTGTATGGTGCAGTGAATAGTGACTTGTATAGTGCAGTGTATAGTGCAGTGAATAGTGACTTGTATAGTGCAGTGAATAGTGACTTGTATAGTGCAGTGTATAGTGCAGTGAATAGTGACTTGTATAGTGCAGTGTATGGTGCAGTGAATAGTGACTTGTATAGTGCAGTGTATAGTGCAGTGAATAGTGACTTGTATAGTGCAGTGAATAGTGACTTGTATAGTGCAGTGTATAGTGCAGTGAATAGTGACTTGTATAGTGCAGTGTATAGTGCAGTGTATAGTGCAGTGAATAGTGACTTGTATAGTGCAGTGTATATTGACTTGTATAGTGCAGTGTATGGTGACTTGTATAGTGCAGTGTATAGTGACTTGTATAGTGCAGTGTATAGTGCAGTGTATAGTGACTTGTATAGTGCAGTGTATAGTGCAGTGTATAGTGCAGTGTATAGTGCAGTGTATGGTTAATAGTGACTTGTATAGTGCAGTGTATAGTGCAGTGTATAGTGCAGTGTGACTTGTAAAGTGCAGTGTATAGTGCAGTGTATAGTGACTTGTATAGTGCAGTGACTTGTATAGTGCAGTGAATAGTGCAGTGTATAGTGCAGTGTATAGTGACTTGTATAGTGCAGTGTATAGTGCAGTGTATAGTGACTTGTATAGTGCAGTGTATAGTGACTTGTATAGTGCAGTGTATAGTGACTTGTATAGTGCAGTGTATAGTGCAGTGTATAGTGACTTGTATAGTGCAGTGTATAGTGCAGTGACTTGTATAGTGCAGTGACTTGTATAGTGCAGTGACTTGTATAGTGACTTGTATAGTGCAGTGTATAGTACAGTGTATAGTGACTTGTATAGTGCAGTGTATAGTGCAGTGTATAGTGCAGTGAATAGTGACTTGTATAGTGCAGTGTATGGTGCAGTGAATAGTGACTTGTATAGTGCAGTGTATAGTGCAGTGAATAGTGACTTGTATAGTGCAGTGAATAGTGACTTGTATAGTGCAGTGTATAGTGCAGTGAATAGTGACTTGTATAGTGCAGTGTATAGTGACTTGTATAGTGCAGTGTATGGTGCAGTGAATAGTGACTTGTATAGTGCAGTGTATGGTGCAGTGAATAGTGACTTGTATAGTGCAGTGAATAGTGACTTGTATAGTGCAGTGAATAGTGACTTGTATAGTGCAGTGTATGGTGCAGTGAATAGTGACTTGTATAGTGCAGTGTATAGTGCAGTGAATAGTGACTTGTATAGTGCAGTGAATAGTGACTTGTATAGTGCAATGTATAGTGCAGTGAATAGTGACTTGTATAGTGCAGTGTATGGTGCAGTGAATAGTGACTTGTATAGTGCAGTGTATAGTGCAGTGAATAGTGACTTGTATAGTGCAGTGAATAGTGACTTGTATAGTGCAGTGTATGGTGCAGTGAATAGTGATTTGTATAGTGCAGTGTATAGTGCAGTGAATAGTGACTTGTATAGTGCAGTGAATAGTGACTTGTATAGTGCAGTGTATGGTGCAGTGAATAGTGACTTGTATAGTGCAGTGTATGGTGCAGTGAATAGTGACTTGTATAGTGCAGTGTATAGTGCAGTGAATAGTGACTTGTATAGTGCAGTGAATAGTGACTTGTATAGTGCAGTGTATGGTGCAGTGAATAGTGACTTGTATAGTGCAGTGTATAGTGCAGTGAATAGTGACTTGTATAGTGCAGTGAATAGTGACTTGTATAGTGCAGTGTATAGTGCAGTGAATAGTGACTTGTATAGTGCAGTGTATGGTGCAGTGAATAGTGACTTGTATAGTGCAGTGTATAGTGCAGTGAATAGTGACTTGTATAGTGCAGTGAATAGTGACTTGTATAGTGCAGTGTATAGTGCAGTGAATAGTGACTTGTATAGTGCAGTGTATAGTGCAGTGAATAGTGACTTGTATAGTGCAGTGTATAGTGACTTGTATAGTGCAGTGTATGGTGACTTGTATAGTGCAGTGTATAGTGACTTGTATAGTGCAGTGTATAGTGCAGTGTATAGTGACTTGTATAGTGCAGTGTATAGTGCAGTGTATAGTGCAGTGTATAGTGCAGTGTATGGTTAATAGTGACTTGTATAGTGCAGTGTATAGTGCAGTGTATAGTGCAGTGTGACTTGTAAAGTGCAGTGTATAGTGCAGTGTATAGTGACTTGTATAGTGCAGTGACTTGTATAGTGCAGTGAATAGTGCAGTGTATAGTGCAGTGTATAGTGACTTGTATAGTGCAGTGTATAGTGCAGTGTATAGTGACTTGTATAGTGCAGTGTATAGTGACTTGTATAGTGCAGTGTATAGTGACTTGTATAGTGCAGTGTATAGTGCAGTGTATAGTGACTTGTATAGTGCAGTGTATAGTGCAGTGACTTGTATAGTGCAGTGACTTGTATAGTGCAGTGACTTGTATAGTGACTTGTATAGTGCAGTGTATAGTACAGTGTATAGTGACTTGTATAGTGCAGTGTATAGTGCAGTGTATAGTGCAGTGTATAGTGACTAGTATAGTGCAGTGTATAGTGCAGTGTATAGTGCAGTGTATAGTGCAGTGTATAGTGCAGTGTATAGTGTAGTGTATAGTGAATAGTGACTTGTATAGTGCAGTGTATAGTGACTTGTATAGTGCAGTGTATAGTGCAGTGACTTGTATAGTGCAGTGACTTGTATAGTGCAGTGACTTGTATAGTGACTTGTATAGTGCAGTGACTTGTATAGTGACTTGTATAGTGCAGTGTATAGTGACTTGTATAGTGCAGTGTATAGTGCAGTGTATAGTGCAGTGTATAGTGCAGTGTATAGTGACTTGTATAGTGCAGTGTATAGTGCAGTGTATAGTGCAGTGTATAGTGCAGTGAATAGTGACTTGTATAGTGCAGTGTATAGTGCAGTGTATAGTGCAGTGTATAGTGCAGTGTATAGTGACTTGTATAGTGCAGTGTATAGTGACTTGTATAGTGCAGTGTATAGTGCAGTGTATAGTGACTTGTATAGTGCAGTGTATAGTGCAGTGTATAGTGCAGTGTATAGTGACTTGTATAGTGCAGTGTATAGTGACTTGTATAGTGCAGTGTATAGTGCAGTGTATAGTGCAGTGTATAGTGCAGTGTATAGTGCAGTGTATAGTGCAGTGTATAGTGCAGTGTATAGTGCAGTGACTTGTATAGTGCAGTGACTTGTATAGTGCAGTGACTTGTATAGTGCAGTGACTTGTATAGTGCAGTGTATAGTGCAGTGTATAGTGCAGTGTATAGTGCAGTGTATAGTGCAGTGTATAGTGCAGTGTATAGTGCAGTGTATAGTGCAGTGACTTGTATAGTGCAGTGACTTGTATAGTGCAGTGACTTGTATAGTGCAGTGACTTGTATAGTGCAGTGACTTGTATAGTGCAGTGACTTGTATAGTGTAGTGACTTGTATAGTACAGTGACTTGTATAGTGCAGTGTATAGTGCAGTGTATAGTGCAGTGTATAGTGCAGTGTATAGTGCAGTGTATAGTGACTTGTATAGTGCAGTGTATAGTGCAGTGAATAGTGACTTGTATAGTGCAGTGTATAGTGCAGTGTATAGTGCAGTGAATAGTGACTTGTATAGTGCAGTGTATAGTGCAGTGTATAGTGCAGTGTATAGTGCAGTGTATAGTGCAGTGTATAGTGCAGTGTATAGTGCAGTGTATAGTGCAGTGTATAGTGCAGTGTATAGTGACTTGTATAGTGCAGTGTATAGTGCAGTGTATAGTGCAGTGTATAGTGCAGTGTATAGTGCAGTGTATAGTGCAGTGTATAGTGACTTGTATAGTGCAGTGTATAGTGCAGTGTATAGTGCAGTGTATAGTGCAGTGTATAGTGACTTGTATAGTGCAGTGTATAGTGCAGTGTATAGTGCAGTGTATAGTGCAGTGTATAGTGCAGTGTATAGTGCAGTGTATAGTGCAGTGTATAGTGCAGTGTATAGTGTATAGTGCAGTGTATAGTGCAGTGTATAGTGCAGTGTATAGTGCAGTGTATGGTTAAAGAGCAATATTGCCAAGGAAAAGCAGAATTATAAGCTAGAACAGTAAGCTGGAATATTAGTTCTAGTTTAAGAGGACCATGGCCATCTAACCTGTGTATGCATAATTACAGTGAATAATTCATACATAGCGTCAGTATGGTTGAGCAGTAAGATCAAGAATATACGTTAGTTACTAATATAGTATATACGTACGTAGTTTGTAGCTACACTTGTAGCGTGGCACACTTTACCAGGCCACTACTTCCCGGGGTTATTGACGTAATGTGACGGGGTAACGGCCCCACAAAGCTGTCACTTAATTAATAATTAGCATAACAGATTATACTGCCTGCAGTGAGTTACACTGTGAGAGTGAGTGAGTGAGTGAGAGTGAGTGCGTTTACACAAGCTACCCGGGGTTCAATAGTGGAGAAGTTAGGGGTCCAACTATAGATTTAACTGCTGTTCACAATAAATCGATCTAAATTTACATTTTATGACATTTTCTGCAGAAAGTATAACAATACTTCTCATTGCAACGTACATTATAAAACATTTGAACTAGTCATAGTTTTAGGTGGGATGACATAACACAAGTGCTGCGCTGCAAAGACTTCCTGCTCTGAGGAATCCGTGGAATGTTTGCCCCCAAGAAGTGTGGTATACGTTACGAGCCTCCCACTCTAGTAGTAGAGTACGTGGTACTGGCTACTGGCAAGCTCCACAGGAGGAGTATGCCGCTCAGAGACGTCACCGCTAACAGTAACCCTGACAACGAGGCCAGGAAGTTCAAAAACAATCCTAAACACGGTAAGTATTTGGAAAAGATTTCGCAAGAGAAGCTGTCAAGGATTTTGAGTAAATGTATCAAGTTTCTGAAGGGGGCAGCAGCTATCGGGTCCAACAAGCCAGTCAGGCTGAACTTGGACGATGATTTTATGGGGGGTTCCACAGACATGGACATGAACAAGCTCAATGACTCTGAACTGCAGTTCGAGAAATCTAAAATGAACAAAGATTTTATGGAGAAGCAGATAAGACCTGGTGACCCTGATTACGAGTATGACAAGGAAGTAAATTACGGGAGTGGGAATCTTGGTGATGTGGAATGTGACTGGGACGAGTCCGAGAACTCGGACTTCAGCTTTTAAGTCAGTTCTGGTTAACAGATCCTAGTCAATATATTGTTTTTTGGTTTTTATGATTTTATCTCAGATTTTTGACATAATATCTCAGAGCATGATGAGTTATAATGATTTTGCTCTCCCCTTTTGTGATTACCCCGATCCAGGCCAAGCCACAGCTTAATAGTTAGGCATGTATTGTGTATACTTATTAATGTAAAATATGTATGATAACTTATTAAAATGTTTCTATCCGTCATACCAACAATTTCCTTGGAATGCCAATTACATACCAGCAACAGCAAGTGGGGGGGGGGATAGCAATGTAGAGGTCATTAAACTGCTGGAGGTGGGGCAGCAATGTAGAGGTCACTAAACTGTTGATAGTTGATGTTGCTATGACGTCAGAACTCACAGCATGCATTTATTAGAGTGCAACTGTGCGGCGGTTTAAACTTGCAAATACGTCCAGACGAGAAGACTTGCGGAGAAGTTACTATAGATAGATTACTGCATGCAGGGGAAATGATTATCTGCAAATAACATGTGGTTAATCCTTGTATCTGGATAGTATTAGTTAACTGTGCTCCATATTGAGGTTGTGTTTATTATATGTATTACATTTTACAGCAATGTTTGGTAAATCATGGGTTGAGTAGACTTTGGGCACGGTTGGTTTCTCTGGTGTAATTTACTATATTTTATCTTGATTAGTCCCCCCCCCCCCTGCATCAACACTGCCTGATATACTCCTCCTTACGTTTTGTTAGGTATTTCTCTCTCTCTCTCTCTCTCTCTCTCTCTCTCTCTCTCTCTCTCTCTCTCTCTCTCTCTCTCTCTCTCTCTCTCTCTCTCTCTCTCTCTCTCTCAAAAAGACAGTCTTTCTGCGCTTAACAAAGTTAGCGTTATAAACAGCTCTCTTCACATATTGTGACAGTGTAATTTCCTGTTGGAACTAGGATCTGCATTACAGTAATCTGTTGCTGTAACTCATCTTATTACATAGCGTCTTATAGTCGGAGCTGGCTTGATGAGGCTGTAGAACTAATGGCATTACCAAATGTGCTCTCAATATACAGTAAATATGTGAGACCGGACACCTACACTGTTGTAATGTCCTGGCGAGGACGCTAAAGCTGCGTATTTCAGATAATGTATTGCCACATGTAGTCTCTCTCTCTATCTCTCCCTCTCTCTCTCTCTCTCTCTCTCTCTCTCTCTCTCTCTCTCTCTCTCTCTCTCTCTCTCTCTCTCTCTCTCTCTCTCTCTCTCTCACATGTAGTTTTATCAGGTCATATTATCGCAAGCTGAGTAATCACCGTCTTATCACTACAATTTCACGTGTAATCGCCTTGTACGTGTTCTGCGTGTCAATGTAACTAATGGATTGTAGAGCTGTAGTGTGTACAAATATTGGCTTCCTTGTTCACTGGTGGCTGTATCTCTCTCCACTTCAAATATATAATAGTAATACTTAAACCAACATAGGCCAATCTAAATAACGTTCAGTGAACGTTTACTTATAAACCAGGGGGGGGGGGGGGATCAACCTCATAAACTATTTGTGTAATTAGAACTGAGTAATGTAACTCTTCCTAATTGAAAGAGTAGAAACTAAGGGAACCTTTCAGCAGTGGGCGGTCGCAGGGCATACTATTTCACAAGTATGAGAAACTTATTATAATTGCAGCTCGCCTCCACAAATATTCCAAAACTTTGCAGTATGTGTGGTCTGGTGATAGTGTGCACTATCACAAGATATTCGCACGATGAGGCGACTTTTGTGGTATTGAGGGAAGTGTGTTATACAAATATGTTAAATTCATCCTGTATAACATGTATAATAAATTAATAGTGTACTTCGTAGTATCCTATAATAAAACTTCTTTATTATTGAAATGGAACCAATAGTAATAGTAATAGTAGTAGTAGTAGTAGCTTAGCATACTTACTGATATCCTGCATGTTTATTAAACCCTCCTTACGAGTATTGTCTAACACGTGACTTAGTTTCACTTGACACGTGACATAGTTTTACTTGACACGTGACATAGTTTAACTTGACACGTGACATAGTTTTGACACGTGACATAGTTTTACTTGAAACGTGACATAGTGTTATTTGACACGTGACATAGTTTTACTTGACCTAATCGTAGGTTAAAGTACTCTTTCTACTCTGATGAGAATTAGCTTGTTAGGGAAAAGTGGGAGAAATAGCTTTTTGTGGGAGAGTCCCTCCAGTTGGAGACACTGTAAATGAAGTAGGCACCTGAGTGATGCAGACGTCAAAAATCGTTTATCAACCTCACAAGTATGCCCTTATATGGTAATATTAAACCCTATCATTAAAACACTCTCGCTAGTGTACCGACAGTTATACGTTACATCCCGTGTTAGGAGACAGATGCTTATCATTACCACATTGACAGAATGTACTCTCTGTAGTAAGACAAATCGCCCTTTTTCTGAGCACTTGCCATGGCCCATTCGAAATAATATTACCTTCAAACGATCTATCAATATTATGTAAAGGAACTTTGGTAAGTCACCTTTAAATTTAACTGAGCTTTACCATAACGTGCAATTAAATGATGGTACGTTTTATCAAGTATTCGTCCAATTTAGTGAAGGCTTAATTACTGTCCTACCAAAATTTACTATCAAAATCAGGAATTTAATTAAATCTACATAAATCTGGGTCAGAACACAAAAACCGAGTGTAATCCTTAATAGTTCAGTTTATTAATATTATGGTAATTAATTGATTCTAGCTTTAGGACCAATTTCTGAGGGGTGACGTGTAGTTGTAGTTTAATTATAAGACCCGCAAACTAATAATAATATGTTAGTCCCGTTCTACCTAAATAGTTTATGTTTCGTTTAACTTAGTTTTAAATCATTTAATAGATTCTGCTGACTGGCCAGATGGGTAATTGACGCTAATTATTGTATCACGTATTGCACTGTGTACAACTCCGTTCCATTGATTAAAAGTTAATTGCCCTTTCCTTGACGAGTGGTAATATATTCCTCCATTTCGTCTAGGTGTAAGTTGAACACTTGTTCTAAGAATAGTTTCTATCTTATTACAATGTGATGAGCACTGAAATAGTGACATGGCATGAAGGGAGCTGTGTAGGTTCACTTAAACCTGGATCACCCTGGATTACTTGTACATTATGGGGGGCCGGGGGCACAATGCACATGTTAGTACCTTGTTATTTGAGACATACTGAAATTGCTTGTCACAACAAGCATAATTAGGGTTAGGAGATTAGCTTCCTGTATTTTAAGACACTTACTTACTTTTAAGTGTACCAACTTACCGGCCCCAACCGGCGCTGCCCCCTCCTCAATATTACCCATCACACCAGGGTTATTACCTGCAGGAGGGGGGGGGGGCACCCCTGAATACAGTATCAGTATTTATTGAGTCCGTTACACCCAGTGTTAATGTATTCAGACTTGTTCAATAGTTTCATGTAAGTAGAACTGCCATTACGTTAAACTTGGTGTAGGAATGTTATACGTCAATCTCAACGGAAGTCGTTACATTAAATTTCTTAAATTTCGTGTCAATTAACTTGAGATTATCAGTCCCGTTTGCTATCATCATTATCATCCTCATCATGTTATTTTAAGTAAAAGGGACTATTTTTAATTCTCGGTTAAGGGAAGTTCAGGCAGCTCAAGTGATTGGCGCAAAGCTGTTCAAATAGCCGGTAAGAATCTGAGGACTGGGACCAATCTGCAACAACGCCCATACGACTAGCAATAATTTACGGCTTGAAGAAGTACAAAGTTTACTCGCCGCAGCATTTTGAGCAATATTTGCGCCACGTACTCACATATTCAGCTTTGCTGATTCCGCCATCGCTATGTAGTACAACTGCAAGTTTGCTGATTCTCATACGGCATGGTTTCCGGTCTGGACGGCCAATCGGCTCCCAAATTTTACATCAAGTAGGATTGAAAGCATACTAATTACTATACTGCAGTCCTTTCAGTTTATAATGCTTACGTATCTAATGTGATTCATGTGAAGTGTAGTGTAATATAATTTCCCTCTGAATTGTGGTCATGGGTGACACCCGTGAAAATGGAAAAGTGTCTCCAACGAGCGTGCTAAATCACTACACTGGAACCTTCGAGAATTTTCTAAAATGCAGCTGAAACCAACTTGCAACTTGAATCGATGTATTGCAAGTTACAAATGATGTCAGGACGGTATATAATATAAATGCTACCCCTACTTATGACGTCCAGCAAATAGGGAGGGGGTGGTTTTGGAATTTCGAACAAATCCGGACAGGGGGAGGGGGTGGTTTCTTACAATCCGGAAATTTTGGCAGAATTAACGAAAAAGTCTCATTTATTTCAACTCTATGACACAAATTACTTCGTAAGTTTAGATTCCTGTATTTTGATTTTTGAACGAAAAGTCGATTCCCAGAGCAGCTCATGAGAGCCGAGTTTTATTCGTACTCTTAAGAAGTAGCTGGAAATCCGGACGTCTGGGGAGGGGTTGGTTTTAAAAATTCGGACAGGGGAAGTGGGGTGGTCTGAAAATCTGCGATTTTGGCGGACGTCCTAAGGGGTCGTTCACATATTACGGAATCAGCCGAGGGGGGGGGGGGGGGTTTCAAATGATTGCGGGGGTGTTTTGATCGTTGATTACGTAATCAAATTTTTAATTTTTTACCGATTTTCGAAATACCAATTTGACAATTTTCGTAAATTATGTAATCAAAATTTTCGTTTTTTTAACCAATTTTCGTTTAGTAAGTGCTTTGCGATTATTTCATTCATTAGTCCGTTGTGATAGCTTTTAATAAATAAATGGCTGAACATGTAATAGATAGTAATAAAATTATTATGTCTTATCTTGATTACGTAATATAGGAGGGGGGTTGGGTCTTGATCACGGGGGGGGGGGGGGGGGGGGGTAAAAATTGCCAAAATGTTGATTACGTAACATGTGAACGACCCCTAATATATAAGCAATAAGTAGATGGCCGCTTATTTAACATTTAAATCACTCTGCATCTGGCATCGAAACTTTTTCTAGTAAAAGTGCCCCTGACAATTGAAACTTATTCGAATCTATGTTGTATGTATCTTTGTATAATGATTCCGAATCAAATGACATATAAAATATATTGATTCGATTTGGTACGTGAGTTCTCGGGGAAAAACTTTGTCGATCACGTGACATGGCCTTGATGCGCCGCGCAGATCGGCGAGATACGCTACAAT